GAACTGCGGTCCCTGTGCTTTGCTAAGCTTGTTCTAAGTAGGTGCTTTAGACCATTGAGCCATCTCACCAGCCCTGTTCATGGTCTTTTGTCCCTTGACCTCTTTTCTGACTTCTGGCCTCCCAGTCTTCTTGATAGTCTGCTATGCTATTCCTATACCTCTGGAGTTGTATTAATAACCATTAGCCATACAGGCTATTTTCTTTTTTTTTTTTTTTTAATCCTCATCTTCCTCCTCCTCTTCGTCCTGGTTAATCTGGAAGTAACGTAATTCATAACTCTCTTTGCTGCTAGCAACTACGCGCAACCAGTCACACAGATTATTCTTCTTCAAATATTTTTTGGTGAGATATTTCAAATACCTTTTGGAAAAAGGCACCTCGGAAGTCACGGTGATCCTGCTCTTGCTCCTGTCGATGGTGACCACCCCTCTACCGAGATTCCCGGCTTTGCTGTTCACCTTGATTCTTTCCTGGAGAAACTGCTCGAAATTGGCAGCGTCCATGATTCCATCTTCTACAGGATGTGTGCAATCAAGGGTGAACTTCAGGACCTGCTTCTTTTTTTTGCCCCCCTTTGCTGCAAGCTTTTTCACGGGCGCCATGGCGGCCGAGGACTTGGAAAAGCTTTTTTTTTTTTTTTTTTTTTTTTGGTGGAACCGAGGATTGAACTCAGGTCCTTGTGCTTGCCAGGGAAGCGCTTATTCCACTGAGCCATCTCCCCGGTCCCTTTTTTAATGACTTTTTTGTGTGTGTGTGCGGAACCAGGGATTGAACTCAGATCCTTGCTTTTGCCAGTCAAGCGCTTATCCTACTGAGACATCTCCCCGGCCCTCATACAGGCTATTTTCATTAAAATTACTTAACTAAAATGTAAATTCGGTTCCTCACGCACCTGGCTGCACTACTGTTCAGAAGGAACATGTGTCTGGTGGCTACTAGGTGGGACAGTGCAGAGGCAGGACTGGCCATCAGACAGGAAGTTCTTTTGGACAGCACTCCCTTCTCATTTCTCCCTTTGTCCAATGTCGTATCTTGTGACTACTGGTCATTTTCTTCCCACCCTGCTAAATCTTTACCCTCTGTTATCTCTAAATTCCCTGTCTTCTGTTTTCTCTGCCCCTTCCCAGACTTGCTTTCTTGTCCTCTACCATTTTGTGGGAGGCACCAAAGTGCCACTCTTGAATACTTGTGATTTAAGCATCCTGGAAGGCTGAGGCAGGAGGATCTCAAGTTCCAGCTCAGCCTGTGGAACTTAGTAAGACAATGTCTCAAGATAAAAATAAAAATTGGAGCTGGAAAGCAGCTCAATGCAAAGGCACTGGGTTCAGTCCCAAGTACTACAACAACAACAACACCAACCAAGAACCCAGGGTCTTCATGGTTGGAACTGACCTTGGTTCAGTGTGACTGGGCAGATTAGTTGACTGCACTGTGTCTTAGTTTCCTCATGTGTAAAACAAGAAGCACAGTAATTGCATTTCATTGGCTTCAGTGAGATGTGCCCTGCACATGAAGTGCTGGCACACGGTCACGCTTGTCAGGCCTCCAGGGACCTTGGCACTCACTGCTAGTCCTGCTCACCTTGGCTTCCTTCTTCCCACAGCGTGAAGCCGTTCTCACAGACACAATTCTCTTTGTCCCTGACACCCCCATCTACTGACCTCCCAGGTAAGGGCCCGCTCCAAGCCCCTCCTACCCTTTCCTTCCCTTCTCTCTGTGGCTCCGGCTACCTTTCTTTCCGTCCCATCAGTCAGGGGCTGTCATCTTCCTGAGGCAGGGTGTGCTGGGGCAGGATGTGTGTGACAGGGTTTGTGGTGGTTAAGAGCACAGCCTCTGTAGCCACACATCCTGGGTTTGTTCTGACACTTGCTTGCTTAGGAGACATTGGGGAAGTGGGTTAGTTAAGAGTCTTTCAGCCACAAGTGATAGAAACCCAAATCAAGCTTGCTGAAGGTGGTGGCGGCGGTGGGGGATTTCTTAGTTCAAGTAACTGAGAGTTCACAATTAGGGCTTCAGGCATGGCAGGATCCAGGGTCCTAGTGGAAGCACTACGATTTGTTTCCATTTGCTTTCCCTGCTGGTGGCTTCACTCCCAGGGAGACTCTGCTCACCTGGCCACTGAGGTGGTTTCCAGAGGGCCATGCCCAGGTGACTCTGAATGCTCAGACTGACTGGTGAAAGAATAAGTCTCTAGTTCTCTCAGGTTCCACAGATTCATTGGTAAGGAATACCTCAGGCTGCAAGCTACAGAACACTCAAATCAATAGGGCCTTAAATAGGCTTTAATGTTGCTACATACCACAAAGTCTGGAGGTGGGTTGCCCCTAAGCTGGCTGAGAAGCCCAGCAGTATCAGGACTGGCATCTTTGCAGTTCCCTTAGCCTCTATCTTATTGTGCCACAATGGCTGCTGTGACTCTAGACATCATGTCCCAAGCAGGACTTGGTCAGGGCCAAAAGCTTTCTCCTCCCAAAGTTCTGTCTTTTTCATTCAGGAAGAAACTCCTTCCCAGAAGCCCCCCAGCAGATTTTCCCTAACGTCTCATTGGCCAGGACTGTGTCACATGGCCACCTCTAGCTGCATGGGAGGCTGGGAAAGTGAGTATTTAGCTTTTTCAGCTTCCAAGTGGAGGCAGGCAAGAGAGAACAGTGCCTAATACAGCCAGTAAATTTTAGCAATTTTTATTGTTCTTTCTTCTCTCTAGGGTACGAGCCCCCCCAAGCCCTTTCTCCCCTGCCCCCACCTGCCCCATCACCGCCAGCCTGGCAGGCTCGGGCTCTGGGCACTGCCCGGTTGCAGCTGGTGGAGTTCTCGGCCTTTGTGGAACCGCCAGATGCAGTTGACTCTGTGAGTGAAAAATTGGGAGCTCTTTGGAAGCAGAGGGTGACGGGAAAGGTGTGAAATCATCTACAGGGCTTGTTAATAGAGACTGCCAGCCCAATTCCAGGATTTTGTCTTTTTTTTTTTTTTTTTTGTGGAACCGGGGATTGAACTCAGGCCCTTGCGCTTGCCAGGGAAGATTTAGTCTTTTTGAGACAAGGTCTCACTGTGCAGTTCAGGTGGGTCTTGAGCTCACTTTGTAGCCCACGCTGGTCTCGAACTTGCAATGTTCTTCCTGCTTCAACCTGTCAAGTGCTGGGATTACAGGCGTGTGCCACGGTGCCCAGAATTTTGAATTTGCTAGATCTACTGGGGGTTGTGGCTGAAGAATTCATATTTCTGATGATGTAGCTGCTTTGGGAACCACACTTTGAGAACCACTATCATCAAGAAACTGGAAGGTCATGGGGTAACAAGTTGGGAAGGTCAGGGAAACTCCCCAGGACATTGTTCACTTGTTCGTTCATTTAATACATTTGAATCCCTGCTGTCTGCTAGGCTTTATGATGCTTACTAGGAACCTGGAAAAGCAGAGTTTATTTCTGGACTTGGGCTTCTCCTGGGCCAGGATAGTGATGCTTGCTGTACCAGTTGGAAAGGTTGTTAGAAGAAACAGGTGCCAACTTCAGGGACTGAACAAGTTTCTGGTGCATGTACCACGTCAGTGTGGGTGTTCTGCAGGAGCCTTCTACTCAGTGATTCAGGGCTCTGGGCTCCTTCCATTTTGTGGCTCACTGTTCTCTAGGGCTTGGGAATCTGCTACTAGATTCTCTGCATCTGGCCAGCAGATGGAGGAAGGGAAAGAGGCAAGATGTGCAGGAGTTTTTATGGGTCTGGCTTAAATGTGCCAACTGGCTGGTTTGCTCGCATCCCATTGGCCAGAATGGAATCATGTGGTCTAAACTCATAACTGCAAAGGAGCCTGGGAAATGTAGTTTACTACTATGTAAAGAAACTGGGTCACTGCTGTGCAGATAAATACTATAAAACTTAAGTTGGATTAGGTTAAATCCTTACCACCTCACTTGTTGCAAAAGATAAAAAAAGTCCTTTCATTTGCCCACTGAGTTATGCACTGTCTTGATTCCCATTTCTGCCTCTTGGCCTGCTTTCTGTTGAGCTACCACAGCTTTTTGGGTAT